GTGGGGCGCAGGGCGGAAAAGGCAAACCAAAACATTAAGGACTTCATCCACCAAACGGAGTCTTAGATCTAGAATCCTAAAAGATTATATGTTTAGGAAATTTATCACTATCTGTGTAATTATGCAACCGAGAAGTCAGCTTGTGCAAATATTTCTGAGCATGAAAGTTCATCTTTAAAGATTAAGATGAGGTCATGCTTGTAGACTAGAAATATGTGTCAATTCAGAAGTAGATGTTTTCAGAAGAGCCATGACCTCAGTTACATTTTGATACTAGTAATGTGTATGTAGCCTGAAAGAGTGATGTGAACTCACTGAGCTATTGGCTGAACAGGGCTATTAATATTGCAGTAATGATGACTGTCAGTGGCAAAGATGTCTTACCAGTTAGGATGAAATGACGTTGTAGCTGAACCCATCTAAAACCAGTTCCTTCTGAGAAAGGAGGTCATGCTTTCTCCAGTGCGACTACGTGGTCCTGCCCCTCTGTGAGCATCTGACGACTTGAAAACCATCTCGGTGTACTAAAATGTCTAATTAAAAAGGATTTCCCTGCTTACACTATGTACATGTTAAGGTACGTTTGTATTCATCACAATGTTTTTAAAACCCTACACCTGTTTTCATTTATCAAAAAGTGTTGCTATATTCACAAGAAATATTCCAAGAAATTGATCAAGATACATAATGGGTTTTTTTTTCCAAAAGGCTTTCCCACAAACATGCCTTTTCTGACGTCTTCTGAATAATATTAGGGTGAGTATATAAAGGAAAAGACTTTACATTTTCTTGCTACAAAGAACTGAAATATTTGGGGCAAGTCTTTTATTAAGGTAACTGTTTCAGCTAGTTTAAGGATTAATCTCCTCTTTTGTGATGCTACTTAAAAGTTTTCAGCCTTGGAAACAGTCTAGTTAATTTAGGTCTCTCATTTCCTTTTGTGTTTAAGGCTGTAGTTAAAATGACGCAAGAAGAATATTAGGCAATGATCGTATGTTCCCAGGGCTTTTCAAAAAGCTGAGTTAGATAATGAGAAGTTCTGTTGCATGTAGTTTCCCATGTTGGTTTTTTTTTTAACACTTAATTAAACTTTGTTCCTGTCAGAAGAAGGTGAGAGGACTGTTGCTGCACATAGTTTATTTTGTCCATCGAATGGACATGCTGTGTTAGAGCTGTCTAGAGCAGCGGTGCAGTCCGGTTAACACCGGCCGTATTCGAATGTGGATGACTACAGATGAGAGAATAAAGCATGCTTCTGGTAATACTTTTTTTTGCTCTACAAGCATCAGCAGAGATTGGATCATTAAATAAATAGAAGTCACCTCCTTCCTAGGTGATGAAGTTTAATTACAGTTTTTCAGATTAGTTGATTCTTTTAGAGGAGAGCAAGTTCTACTTTACCTGCTTGGCATCTCTGCTAATTATTAAGTGCTGTGTAGGCCACAGTGATTCTGGAAGACATTGACACTTCAGATGGGTTTTGTGACTGTAGTCGGGTATTCTGTGCCTGATTTCGTAGATGCACGGATGCACTTGCGGAGTAAGTTCATCCATCTGGAGATGAGAAACGGGCAAATTCAGATTGTACGGTTGGGGCTGTCTGTTCAGCACAGTGGAGCACAGGCCTTTGCCCGGGTACCGTAATGCGCAGGTAACACCGTAGGTATCACAGTTACTCAGCGCTGCAGTCTGTCGTCACAGCAACACCCAGAGAAGGGTGGTAAGCTGTTCCTCCTAAAAGGCATGACTAACAGTAATGTTATGGTTACTGTAGCTCCGCGCTCTTCAGCGGGCGCTTTGGAGTCCAAATCCAGCTTGCTGCCCTCAAGTTGCAGGGGCCAACCACTTGAGTAACATTCATTACTTGAGTAGCTAGATTCTGGCTTTCTTGCACAAATCGGACCTCCGTATCTTCTGACAACAGGGCAAGATAATGGGTGTATGTATTCACCATCTGGTCGTACATTTTGATTATTAAAGGAAACAGGGGATTTGTCATACACACCCTTCCCTTTCCTGAGATGATGATTCTGCTTTTAGCCTCACTTTACCTCTGTTGGAACGAACCCAAATTATTTTGTTTTCTTTTTGCATCAAGCATTTGCAAGGTCTTCCCGTCTCTATATAGTGCTGCTGGAGTGGGTATGGTCTTTCAGAGCTTCAGCTCTGTTTACCAGGTGCTTGAGGATAGCTGAGTAGCCCTGATGACCTTTTCTGGCCTGCATGGAGCTAGTTTTGATGTTTCTGCATGTGTGCAGCACTTTATTCACAAACTGAGTGACTAAGCATAATGGCCAGTGGGTAGGTACTGTAACCTGTTACACTGCAAAACTGCTGATTATAAGATTTGACAGACTTGAGTAAAAAAAGAGGAAGATACTTGCAAACCATATACGATATTGAGCATTTTGGAGTTTCAGTATGCTTAAAATCAGATTACAGCCAAATTTGACAGAAATGAAAAGCAGAAATCCTACAAAAGCTTTTCACTGATTGTTTTGTTATAAAAACCTGCCTTTTTAATGTTGTGTTGCAAAACTATAGGAAATCTATAGCTAGATACAGTGTAGAATGAGCTTGAATGTATGAGGGTGCAGAAGGCCAAGAGCAATACTCGGCTGCTCCCAGCATAAGTTGTTTTCCCCTTCTACTTTGCTTGTGTCAGTGCAGAGAGTTGTTTTCCCCTT